GGGGGTGGGGTGGGTGTGGCGGAGATGGTGATGGTGGTAATAATAGTGGCGACGATAGTGGCAGTGGCGGTAACAGTGGTGGTGGTAGAAATAGTAGTGGGGCGATTGCAAACACTTTTTTTTTAAAAATATTTATGAAAAATAATTTCTAAAAATACTTTTAAAAAGTCACTCCAAATACACCCTTAGGAGCCTATTTTTCCTATTAAATTTAGGATATTAATATTAGCCGTTAAATTAAATTTAAAATAAAATTTAAAGCGATCTCAATCGCGAATAACAAAAAATATTTTATTTATCTTTTGAAATTTGAATTGTAAGCAACTTTATTATATAGATATATTAATCTCATATAAGAATAAAATAGTAAATTATGTATGTATATTGTTTCTATCCTTCTATTTTTTTCATTAATACCAAACATAAAAAAATTAATCATTTCTATTTTGCATAAATCCTACCAAATACAAAAGAAGGAACGTATATCATTCCTATTTTTTTTGGTTGAAAGATAAAAAATGTATCCCTCCTACTTTTTATATTTCCTACTCAACAGAGCATAAATATTTTTTTTTCATTTAGATTTCTATTAAAAAAATTTATAATTCATTTTGAGATTTTAACATAATTTTCAATAACAATCCACTTTGTTTTTTTCAGTGTTATCAGAACTGGACCGGTTCAACCGTGAACTGGGACCCTAACCGATCCGGTTCTTTAGTTGAACCGCTTAAGGAAACGAACCGGCTAAAAACCAGAAAACTGGATGGTTTTTAACAAAAATCGGAAAATCAACCAGTTTTTAAAAATTAAATTACATAAATATTTTTTTTTGCCTTAAATTAGTAAATAGTTGACTTTTTTTAACCTTATTCTTGAAAAAATTATAAATGACACCCATTCTTTTTCTTTATAATTTACTTAAACCTCTTTACTTTTCTTTAAAATACAATAACTCCCACTTTGTTACTTAATTTCATTAATTTTATGACAAATTTTATGTATTTTATATATATTTTATATTTTTTAGCTAAATTATTAATTTTTATAATTATTATATATATATTTTTATTTTTTATTATATGACCGGTCCGACCAGTTGACCCAACTGTTGAACCAGTGAACCATTGACCCGGTCCCCTTGCCGATTCGATGACTGATCCGATTCTGATAGCATTGATTTTTTGTTGGTCAATATAAACAATCCACCGAACGATGTGAATTATAGTGTACTACTATATTAATACGAGGCTTGCCAAAATAATTTGAGAATAAAATTTATCATAAAAAAACTTCAACTAAAATGAATATGTTTAAAATTAAAAAAAAAACATTTCGTAGCCAAATGGTTACATAATTAGAATAAAAACATTATCGATGTCCATAAAAATGACAAAATTGATATAAATTCATGAGGCGTTAAACAAATTTGAAACAAAAATTTTAAAATTTGACTTTTTTTTTATTACAAAGTGTTTAAACTTATATAAACTATTTTTTCAAATTCAGCGATATTACAATAAAAAATTGATAGGGCTAAATATTTATTAATGAAAAATTTGAGACTGATTTGCAATTTTACCTGCATTTTCTGACCGGAATCTTAAAAGTGGGTAAGTTAATACAAACACGCCAATTATATATTCTTGCTTTTCCAAGGACACAAAATTTGACCAATACACTTTCTTATTACTTGAGCATTGGGCCTACGCACCAACCATGGCTGATTGTGACTTAGACTGTTTTGGTAATCAAGGTGGAGAAAATATGTATATTTTTTTTCCCCTGAAGTCTCGAAGTTCAAGGTTAAGCTTATGTTTGTGAATGGATTGAATTTAAATTTAATTTATCGGATATAAATCGATTTTTTTTATCGATAATTTGAATTTGATATTTTTATTTCATGAATTTGAATTCAAATTTAAATATACTTTGATGGTGTTTGAAATCGAATAACAATCTATGATATAGTCCAAAGAATGTGTGAATTTGAATATATGACAATAAATTGTGCTAAGTGTTATAAGCAAAATGAAGATAACAGTGCGAGTGATTTGTTATAATCGAAGGACTAATGTTACATTTATTGTAATTGAGACTCTTACTCATTGAGAATTGTATTACTTGAAAAAGAAGATTGTTATTATTAGTTATTTGATTGGAAGCTTTTTTTACATAATATCACATAGGTTATTGTTGGGTCGTTATTCTCTGTGTGTGGTATCGTTAGCTATTTATACATCTGGCCATTAGGGTTTTTGTGTTGATCCCTTCTTGCTAATTTTGTTGTCTTCTCCATGTTTGCCTTGGTATTGATCTCGTCATCCCTGACGTTTTTTTGCACCCACTACTCACCGATTAGAATAAATGAGTTATCTCCACTACTGATGAGTTTTCGTTCATCAAGATTGTCAGATATTATCCCCTCGTCTCCTGTTTACATGTCATGTTGTAACTCTTGCTAATTAGCCTGCCACCATGCTCTCACTTCTTGAGCTGATATCTATATTGGGCTTGTCAATATCAAGCTGACACCTATTCCGACCTTGTTTTGTTTCAGGCTCCTATGGAATTTGGCCATGGTTCAATTCAAGNATATCTATATTGGGCTTGTCAATATCAAGCTGACACCTATTCCGACCTTGTTTTGTTTCAGGCTCCTATGGAATTTGGCCATGGTTCAATTCAAGCCCAACGAATGTTATCTAGCTGAGACGCTTATGTGGCATTCTGTGAGCACAAAAAGAGCTCTCTGGGCTCCAGAAGGGCCAGACTAAAATCCATCACCATCATACCTATATCTTGATCGAGTTCAAATAATTTATATATTTTTATATAAATATCAAAGAAATTAAGTGATTATTTAAAGAATTATTAATTGCACTAAATGTTCCCAAAATATAGAGTTTGTCTCATTTTAATCTATAATATTTCAATTGCATTATTTTGGTTCTAAAGTATTAAATATATTTTTATGTGGTCCCTCAAACAGACAACATTCAAATTTTTAATATTTTTTTATCATAAACTTGTCACGTGATATTTAAATATGAATAAAAAATAAGTTGGGTAGCTCTCGATAAATGTGTTCCTGTTCTGTCACATTGAGTTTTTCCTATCCTCTCTATTTTGTGCCCATGATCTAGTTTATCAATTGACAACGATGAAGGTCGCTTACAACCTTCATACACTATTTTCAGAAGAGTTTGTGTTATCAATGTTGGACACGCTCTAATATGTGGGACAGTCTATTCCCTCTTAGTTGAAAATAGAGTGGCTGTGGGAGGAACATTTTGACATTTGATGTTCAATTTTTCATTTTCAATGTTGAATTGGTGCTGCCTGCTGAATTGATGGTGGTGGTTGTGTCGAAGGGGGAGGGGGTGTGTGAGCAGTAGAGGTATTGGTGTGGCGTGTGACTTGGGTCGGTGATTTTTTTGTAATTCTGTACAGAATT